CCGCCTGTACCTACCCATAGCTACCACCTACCGCCTGTACCTACCCATAGCGACTACCTACCGCCTGTACCTACCCATAGCGACTACCTACCGCCTCTATCTACCCATAGCGACCACCTACCGCCTGTACCTACCTATAGCGACTACCTACCGCCTCTACCTACCTACCCATAGCGACTACCTACCGCCTGTACCTACCCATAGCGACCACCTACCGCCTGTACCTACCCATAGCGACCACCTACCGCCTGTATCTACCCATAGCGACTACCTACCGCGACTGTACCTCTACCCCACTAGCCTGACCACCCATAGCGACTACCGCCTGTACTCCCTAGCGACCCATGTAGCGACCCTACCTGTATCCGCCTGTGTATCTCTCCCCCTATGTAGTGTGTGTGTGTGTGTGTATATATATATATATATATATATATATATATATATATATATATATATATATATATATATATATAGGCACAATAAACTTAACAGTCAGGATAAGATAGTATTACAGTTTATCATCACTTTCCACAATATATACAAGGTTGTGCTCTCCCACAAAAATAAAACAAAAAGAAAATAAATCCTACTCCAACTTGGAGACTTACTAAACAACCGTATTACTAACTATTCAACTGGCCGGCTAATCTAGTTCCCAGTTTTAAACAAAATGAAATGAAATACAGCACTTTAAGCAGGTTTCACACCGTACCTTTTTCTGAGAGTCTCCCAGCTCTTAGACCCCCCCCCCCATGTCTTCAGAGGCTAACCTTTTAAATCCATAGTGCTGGTTAATTACATTCACCTGGTTGATAACATTCAAGGGGTGACTCCCACTAATTAACCCCATCATGCTGGGAATAGAGAGCGCTCCAATCTATTACTAACATAAAAAGCCCCTCTGACCCTGCGTGTGTGTGTGTGTGTGTGTGTGTGTGTGTATATATATGTATATGTATATATATATATATATATATATATATAATGTGTGTATGAGATACAGAATCTATATACCATGTACAGAGTGTATTATTTCTATTTGGAGCGCTCACATACCATTTTTTATAATTATTATTAGGTCGCTCCTCTGTATGTGATGCAGCCCGGTTTTTGATGGTTTTTATTCTTTTTGTCAGTTACCTTGTATTGGTTTTGGTATTTTATCTGTATTACTGGGGTTCACAGAGCATTCTATAAGCGGGTACAGGGTATTCTATTGGGGTTTGTAGTAGTGTAATCTACGGTATCTCCGCTGGTAGTCAGATTCAGCATACAAAATACATGTAGCGTAGATGCAATCCCTTTTTCCCAAGAACTAGACGACACATAGTTTGGGAGTCAACTCAGCTTTTATTCCAATGCAACCATTTATATACAACTCCCCATGCAAGGGGTTTCCATAATGACATTGCAGGTTTTCCCCGGTGGACTCTGTGGAAAACTTAACCTGCAATGCTATTTCCCATCATGCATGGCTGTACTGTAGAGATTATTGTGCAAGAATATACTGTTAATTAGATTATCTCTCCATACAGCCAAATATACCATTTAACATAAAAATACATAACTTATACAATTTTACACGGAATTGGCCATTCATTGAATGGCTGGGATCTGAGCGCACCATCTGGTGAAATACCAGTCAGATCCATTCCTTAGAATAGGAAGGCCATTCGAATGAAGGGTTCATACGAATACACATTGACATTATACAGTGATATGTGGGCTGTTGGAATATACGGGTTCGTGAAGTTTAATCTGTCGAACGCCGCTCTATTTGCACGAAGTCCAGCGGTGTTCGTGAGGTCGAGTAGCCGATTTTAGTTCCAGGCACTCGACGACCAAACACCGCTGGGCGTTCGTAAGCAAAGATGGCCACCGCCACGTGTTCGATTATACAAACGGCGGCCACCCATAAAACCATTAATGTTCTGTGGTTAGAATGTTGCCAGTTCATTAATTGGAGACACACGACTCCCTTATGTGGTCCCCTGTTTGGCTGTTCATTCGTTTCTCGAACAGAATAGTCCAATATTGTTTGTGCAACTTGCGTACGAATGCCCTCAGCCTTTTAGAATGGAAAATCAACACACGAACACAGTCTTTGGTATACTGAAGTGGCTAGTTTTGCCACAGGGTTCACAGAGCATTCTATAGGTGGATACAGGGTATTGTATTGGGGGTTCACAGAGCATTCTACAGGTGGGTACATGGTATTTTATTGGGGTTCACAGAGTATTCTATAGGTGGATACAGGGTATTGTAATGGGGGTTCACAGAGCATTCTATAGGTGGGTATATGGTATTGTATTTGGGGTTCACAGAGCTTTCTATAGGTGGATACAGGGTATGTTATTGGGGGTTCACAGAGCATTCTATAGGTGGATACAGGGTATGTTATTGGGGGTTCACAGAGCATTCTATAAGTGGGTACATGGTATTTTATTGGGGTTCACAGAGCATTCTTTAGGTGGGTACATGGTATTTTATTGGGGTTCACAGAGCATTCTATAGGTGGGTACATGGTATTTTATTGGGGGTTCACAGAGCATTCTATAGGTGGGTGTAGCGGAGTATCAGGGGTTAATTCAAGAGCTCTCCCCTGGGAACAAAGATTCAGCATACAAAACCACAGGAACACCGCATAATCCCCCTCCCCAAGGACTAAACGACACATAGTCTGGGAGTCAACTCAGGTCTTTATTCACAGTTCTGCTTTTATGCATTTTTCCCATGCAAGGGAGGTAACTTTCATAATTATTACAGTAACCAATCACACAGTGGTTACCTCCCTTACATCTCCTCCCCTTAGATTAACAGTTAACGTTATATGTACACAGTTTTCCCCAATTCGTGGATGTACCCTAAATACAGGGGGTACACCTTTGAATGAGGGGTCCCCTGGTAGCCCTGATCTGGGTAAGCAACATAACTCAAAATTCACCCACATCGGACCAGGGGTTCGGGAGTTATGGCAGGCGAAAGATTTGACCGACCGCACGGGCACAGTAGCCGAAAATAGTTCCATGAATTCTGGCCCTGCGGTCGGTCTCTTTTTGTGAATCAAAAGTCCCAAAAGTCTATGGCATCCAGGCTTCATCTATCGTTCGGATGAATCCCCTCCTTTGTGGGATTCCACATACCGAATGCTGGGGTGTTCGTGTAGTTTGTTCGTGACTTTTGAGCGTGCTGGAGGTCTTAGCGGTATTTGGTTAGTCGAATGCCCGATTTTGAGTTCCAGGCGTTCGACGACCAAGTACCGCTGTTCGTGCATAAGATGGCCGCCGCCACGTGTTCGGTAGGCGAAATGGCGGCC